CAAAACCCCAAAACCCCAAAACCCCAAAACCCCAAAACCCCAAAACCCCGAGGCACTACTAAAATATTGACATAAAACCCCAAGTACACAAAAATCATCACTTAAATCAAAAATCCAACATTCTGGCCTAAATTTTTTATTATTAGCATAAAATTTTTCATCCAATACTCAAAATCCTCAAAATCCTTCATTTTATCGACTATTCACAAATCCTCACTCTTCTCGAACCCAGGCTTGCCCACAACCTGGCATAATTTTCAGTAAAAATTTCCTACTTTAAACTGGAAATTTTTAATTTTTGAACTTTTCGGTAAATTTTATATTTTTGAAAATATTTGGGGTTTTGTGGATTTATGGTGAATGGGAGATGGAAGTTTTAAGGCGTTTGTGAGGAAAGAATTGGGAGAAAGGATGGGATAGAAGGGGTTTTGAAATTTTTTGGCGTTTATGAGGATTAATAACAAATCATATCCCCTTACAATAAATTTCAACCTCAAATCTGCAACCAAATCCTCCAACTCTCAATCTATCCACTACTCCAATCCCCAAAAATCCATAAAAACAGCTAAAACTCCCAAAATCCATCGCTATACTACTCCTTCCTACTTCCAAGAAGGCTACAGTGTATTTGGCTCTAAATATCTCTCCAGAAATTCTCATTTTGAAAGGAAATCTCATTACTGAAAATTTATAAAATAGTTAATCCTTGAAATACCCTTCTCTTCCTGAAGAAGGCGATAGGCACTCTATTAGGTTAATTGAGACAGCTTGGGGCTTCTGGCTCACATGGCGGCTCTGGGATGGGAACAAAGAACTCGGCTTTACAATAGGTTTTTCACGGGACATGTAATTTTTTTGGTCTTTTGGAATCACAAACAAACTTACTTTTAATCAAAGTCCTGTTAATACCCGATAAGCTCATCGTGCTGCTGAATCTGGAAGTCACTGGAGGCTTTTTGAAAGCTATTGGTCATTAAAAAATAAGCTTTGTGCTGATTTTCAAAAGGAAAATTTGCATATCTAAGCTAAATAATTTACCTGCAAAATTCCATTTATTTGGACCTGCTGTTGTTCTTCCAAATTTATGAGTCACTGTGCTATTCACTCTTCTCTTGTTATTTTTGGGAGATTTTATGAAGTTCATTTTTATATCAACAGGGAGCTCTTGTCAGAAATCTTTCGTATTAATCTTCTTTCGAGGCTCTCTCTCAAAACTGGAATAACCTGCTAGATATGGGGGATTCACCTTAGCTGGAGAGGTTTTGAACATAACTATAGTAAGTGTAAAATTATGTTTGCCCATATAAATTGATGAAATTTGGAGTAATACTTACTTGACTTAATCTGTATTCTTTCAAGTTTTGATATCAACTTTGTACAGACCAGGACTTTATTTACAAATCTGGAAGGGAGTCTGAAGGTATCTATTCTGTACAAAAGCATCTGGATTTCCTTTACCCAATTCTAATATTAACTTATAATTTCCTAGTTTAGCAGCAATGTGGAGGGCAGTGTTTTGGTGGATTTTATCTAGAGGTCATACTTGAAGGTTACCTTGTATGCTAAGGTCAAACACAGGGGTTGGAGACCTCTGATTAACCTCGATCATACTTTCAATTGCAGTATATTGCTCATTACAACAAGCAATATGAAGAGGAGCAAACCCTTCCTGGTTAAATTTGTTCGCATTGGTATTATGCTTGATTAGTAGGTTGAGTATAGCCATATTCTGTATTACTTTTTCATCAAAGTTCTTCATCAATAAGTGAAGTCCATTGTTCGCTTTGGAATCAGAAAAGTTAGAGTCCACTCCTTGCCTCAGCATTTGCTTTACGCAATATGTGTTTGAATGCTCTATCGCAAGGAGTAGGAGACTGCCTAAAAGGTGTGTCAAAATTGTGAATGGTAAACAAATTAGATCATGAGTTTAAAAGTTGTTCTTTCAATAGACAGTATAGTCCAAAACTTTGGTTTTTACATTCTTATGAAATGATTTTCACAATATATTACCCCAGATTGGTCTGTTGAACCCTTTCTGCTCTTTCATGATATCTCGAATAACTTCAGAGTTATTCTCAATGATGGCTTTCTTCATCTCCACAGTCTTGGACTTCTTTGTAACTTTGTAGGAATTACGATATGAATGTCTAGAGCTAGGCTTGTTCTTCATATAATCAGGACTTAATGCTGAGCTTTTGAAATTTTTGGGAGGAATTCAGAAATCCTTTTTGATGCTACCAAAAAGTTGAGTCTGTCCTTTTTTTAGCAATGTATTTTTATTCAAACTCACTGGGATTTGGTATTTCAAAGTGCTCATTTTCGTCAAGTCTGAAGTATTAGCAGTTGAATCTTCCTGACTATCTTCTGTATTCATTTTGAGGTTTCATTTGAAAGCATACTCTTCAATGATTTCTCTAATTTCTATAAATTCTTAGAGACCTTGGGTAACAACTTATGCTTACCGAAAAGAGCAGGGTTGTCATCATTATTCGAAATGGCCGAATCTCAGTAATAAATCCAATTTTGGCAAAACTCTGTGAGGGTATATCCAACTCGGCTCTTCATTTTCCTTTGCAATATTTTGCTCAGATAATTCTTGAGCATCTTCATAGTGAATAATGCTGCCAAGTAGTAGTACTTTAAAGGATCATGGACAAATGCCTTTACTTCTGAGATAACTTTAGGTATGAAGTTAACTGAAGTAATAAAATTGGTCTCGGTTTTGTAATCACTTAGCCTCCGATATTTCACCTCTGAGAAATTTTCCTTCTCGAATTTCTGCTCGAGCCTGACCAAGAAGAGATCGTTTTTGACACCCAGGAAGATCTCACTTGGGCTATACTCTCTTTGGATCTGCCTAGCTCCTCTGTGTTGATCTTTAAGGAGTTTTGACAACCTATTTTTCCTGCTTTATGAGGAAACCTATCTCATTGATCAGATCTGTCTGGCTCTTCTTTGGCTATAAATATTAGAAATCTTTGTTACACGGATACTTCCGTTTTGGAAATTTGAGGATCTTGATCGTTCTTGGATTCCTTTGTGACTTCGCTCTATAGACATTAGATAACAGGAAAACTTTACCTAGCTGCTTTAGTGACTCAAGATCAGCTTTTGAGGGCTGAGATTTATTTGCGATTATATTTCAAAAATCCGTTTGATGAGTAACTGTGTGAGGGAACTGCTGGGGTAGTGCTTAATTTATTTATCTTTCCAGATTTAAACAACTGTGTTGTTTGATGGCTAACCTTGAACCTTTTGAGTTTGTGTTGCATTTTTATTTAAATTCAATATTACCTCTTAATTTCGGGGTTTTGGGGTTTTGGGGTTTTGGGGTTTTGGGG